CATTATTGTATTTCCTTCCTCGCAGATCAGTCGTTTCTTGCCGTATCTTCTTGCTGCTTATAGATACAATTACATTAGACCAGCACACATGTTCTTTGCAACAACATCTTCCCAAAACCAGAAACATACCCCTTACCCCTCTCCCTCCCACCCCCCCATAGAAGCGTACTGGGAGGTTGAGTCTCCACTCAACCCCAAGCCTTAAGAGCTTATTATCCAGTAACGCTACTGACCCTCCCACTATTAAAAAAAACCAGAAACATACCCCTTCCCCCTCTCCCTCCCACCCCCCCATAGAAGCGTACTGGGAGGGTGAGTCTCCACTCAACCCCAAGCCTTAAGAGCTTATTATCCAGTAACGCTACTGACCCTCCCACTATTAAAACCAGTACCTCTAACAACATAACGAGAGACTATGAGTGGTCATCGGGTTACTCCTCCTCCTCTTTCCCATGCATAATCTTATAAACCTCAATCATGTCACCCCTCAGTCGTTGTTTCTCCAAGCTAAAGAGCCCTAAGCGCCTTAACCTTTCCTCATAGGGAAAGTGTTCCAACCCTTTTATCATTCGAGTTGCCCTTTTCTGCACTTTTTCCAAAGCTAGAATATCCTTTTTAAGGTGTGGTGACCAGAACTGCACACAGTATTCCAAATGAGGTCGCACCATTGATTTATATAGGGGCATTATGATATTGGCTGATCTGTTTTCAATACCCTTCCTAATAATCCCCAGCATAGCATTGGCCTTCCTTATTGCAGGCACACACTGTCTCAACATTTTCAGTGAGTTATCTACTACAACTCCCAGATCTCTCTCTTGATCAGTCTCTGCCAGTTCAGACCCCATCAACGTGTATTAATAGTTAGGATTTTTGGCTCCAATGTGCATCACCTTGCACTTGGCCACATTGAACCCCATCTGCCATGTTGACGCCCACTTGCCCATATTTGACAGAAAACAAACAACATCAACAAAAATCAGACAAATTAAGCCGCAGCACTACCCCTAGCTTACCTTTGGGAATAACAACACTAAGCTACTTTACAGGGTTTTATTTATTTATTTATTTATTTCATTTATACCCCGCCCTTCCCACACGCGAGCTCAGGGCGGCTTACATAGGCACAACAGTGTAATAAAATACAACACGATTAAAACAATTTAGGCACCCAAAGTTGTAAGCATTGCACATTGTGCAATAGTTTTAAACCTTGAAATTGTGATAGGAACACCGGAGTTATAGATCCTGGGGCACTGGTTTCTGAGCAGGCAATGTTCTGTCACCTCCTCACTCCGGATCGCTAAATTAACATATCTACACCCACCTCCCAAATGAAGCTGGCTCCCTGGTGGGAATTTCTGCCACAGGTGCTCACTCAGAATCGAACTCCCAGATGTCCTGCAATTCATGTCTACATACGGGTAAACCCTATGCTGGTCAACTGGATTTCCTCCCAAATGAGATTACACAGGACTACATCTTTCTGTATTAGGTATTAAGGCGTTTTAGGTGCTTAAAATAAACAAGAGTCTAGTGGCACTTGAAAACAAGGGTTGCCAACCTCCAGGTGGGGCCTGAAGATCTTCCTGGAATTGTAACTGAGCTCCAACCTATGGAAATCACTTCCCAGCAGAAAATGTCTGCTTAAGAAGGTGCATTCTGTGGCATTATGCCCTGCCAAGGTCCCACCCCACCCCACCCTCCAAATTATCAGGAATTTCCAATTTAGAGCTGGCAAGCCTACTTGAAAGACTGTCTCTTTTTCATTCCAGTATAACCCTTCGAGGACTACAGCCTACTTCTTCACATACTATGCGCAGGTCACCTGTGGCAGGTACAATTATTTTATGCAGTAGACTACTACCTGCAGACTTTCCACATGCAGAATATAGACGCCTCGCCACTGAATCACATCCTGAAAGTAATTACGCAGGATTCAAACCTAAGCGGAAATCACCCAGAGAACGCTCACTAGTCTCGCTAAATTAGTACATGGGGGGGGGGGGGGTGCACTTGTCGCCTTTAAACTTTACTGAGACTGCAGCGCGACGCGATCACCCGGCAACCAGCGCCGCTCAAGCGTCCGGAGGTTGGCTTCGGAAGCGCATGCGCGGCCTCTCTCCGGCGGTTGCAGCCCTAGAGGAGGCGGCGCTCGAGCGAGGAAGCGAGGGTGTGAGCGGAGCCCGCGCATGCGTGCAAGGGAAGAGGCCCGGGCAGCGGCAGAACGAGCGGCGCTTCGGTTCCGTTTTGCAAGCGGCCGGCGGAGAGGTCGGGCTGAATCATGTGGGTCCGGTATTGCGCGGCGGGGCGGCGGCTGCAGCAGCTGAGCCACGGCCGGTGAGGACCTATGGTGGTGGGGCTGCAGCGGAAAGGGTCGGGCCTGTGCCACCCACTCAGCGGGGTGCGAGGCGCTTCGCACGTGCTCCGAGGCGCTCTTCGCCGGCTCCCCCAAGCCTGCCTTCTTTCTCCCACTTTGCTGCCTTCTCTCCTCTTGCGCAACTGTGAACGCCTTCTTATCTGGCCTTGGAGCCTGTTATCGGGGGCAAAGGATGGCGCGTTAACGTGAGCAATGTTCCCTCTAAGAGTCTCATGAGCAAAAATCCTACTTTGTGAGCTCCTGGCATTAAAGTTGTGAGCGAGCCATTTGGCTGCTGCATAAATTAGTTCGCTCTGGAGCCCACCTCCTTGAGCTGAGACAAAAATGTGTGAGCCGGAGGCCACAAAACTGTGAGCTAGCTCACACTAACTCAGCTTAGAGGGAACACTCTGACCGCCTGGCATTTGTGCTGTTCCCCGCGCAGCCGGCTCGTGGGGTATTGGAGATGGGAAGCGCTTTCTGGGCAGAGGGAGAGAGGGGTCCAGCCCCGGCACAGCTTTTGTCTTGCAACTGCCCTGCGGATTCCTGCGCCGTCACCCACCGGCCCCTGTAAACTTGAATAGAATAACTTTTAAATAATAATGCTCCCCCCTATTGGAGTACTAGGGAGGTTTGGCTCTGACTCATTAGGAGCAGGACGCGGAGGCTCTCCCCTATTCTGGGCTTCAGGGGTTACATTGAAGGAAGGGGGTTGATGGTGGCAAAATCCTAATCTCTGGATTTCTTGGTAGGACAGAGCTTCTTGTTAAGAACTGGGAATGATGCATGTATATAGGGATGCAGAGGATCGCTGTCCTCTTGACTAGGGGCCCCATGGTGTATTCCCCCCCTCTCCAATGTGGGTCACTTCTGCAACACCTGGAGCTGTCTCAAGAATGCTGGCATCAGTCGCCCGTGAGTGCTTTTTTGTGGTACACCTGGTTTCTGACTCTTGATTTGTTAGGCTACTGGCTCAGTGAAACCTGCAGGCTCAGAGGTAGCCTGCCAGATGGCTGTGCACAAAACAGCCCTGGAAACATTATCACGTAGACCAGAATTCAAACCCAGTGGGACCTTTTAAGACCAACAAAGTTTTATTCAAGGTATAAGCTTTTGTGTGCGCACACACTTCTTCAGATACATTGAAATATAAATTACCAGTCCATACATACAGGTAGAGGGTATGGACTGGCAACTTTGTGCGCACACAAAAGCTTACACCGTCAATAAACTTTGGCCTTAAAGATGCCACGGGACCCAAACTTTGTTCTGTTGCTTCAGACCAACATGGCGACCCACCTGAGTCTCTCCTCACGTAGGTTTTCCAAAGGTGCATGGTTGCATATTGTGGAGAACAGTATGCTGACCTTGGTGGACTTTTGGTCTGATGATGCAGCAGGGTTACTCCTGGCTGAGGCTGTAGTTGTGTGGGTTAATTCACAAAAGTGTGTGAGATTTATGAAGCAGTGTAACTGGTCTTGAATGGGAAGGGGCTGTAGGACCAGCTGGGCCCAGGAAGGAGCTGGATGACTTCTAGGTCGCCAGCCTCTTTGAGCTGCGAGCCCCTTTGGAATTCTGCCACAGGAGACAGAGTTGCACACTGACAAAGGAAGTCTTGAGGGCAGGGGAGACAAGGGATAATTAAAAAAAAAAAACAACTAGTGGGAAAGAGGAGCGAGAGATGATAAAACCAACACTGTGCTGGTAGCTGCCGCTGAAACAACATTATTTTAATCTGCCCAGGCAGTTGGATCTCCAGTGGCCAGTTGAAAGCCCTGCTAGGCAAGTGCCCCACCCACTTTCTAAAAACACTTCACGGGCACCAGGAAAGGTGTTGGCAGGCACTGTGTTGGGGACCCTTGCGTTAGAGTCTTTGCTCCTGCATGGAGTCTGTTCTCTTCCTAACCCACATCTTAGATCCCTAGTTTTCATTTTATTCCTTTTTGCCCAACCTGTACCATTCTGCACAATCTTCCCACCCCCCCAGGTTCAAATCTGCATGATATACATGTTGCATGTGATATGCATGTATGAGTGGTATACCCTGTTTCCCTGAAAATAAGACCGACCCAAAAAATAAGCCCTAGCAGGGTTTCTATGCATTTGTGGTATAAGCCCTAGTGTGTCTTCTTGAGAAAAAATAAATATAAGACAGTGTCTTATTTTCGGGGAAACACGGTATGTATAAACACACACTTGAGTGGATAGAATGGTATACATATACATACATACGTATACACACACTTGGGTGGGAAGAAACTGATAAGGAGAGTGAATTCCATAAGACAAGACTGGCTTAGGGTTTGCACTTTTCTCTGGCAGGTCCAAATTCGTGCCCTGATTTAAATGGGATGTTGACAGAACCTATCCATGTTGAGAGTATTGTAGTTTGATCAATATATAATGCACTAGAAGTTCTTCCCCTAGTTAGTTGTGCTACACAAGCATTCCCCTCCCCCAGTCTTAAAGTGTTGCAAGTTTTAGAAATTGACTAGTGGCTCACTATCCTAGCTTTGTCAAAGATGGCATTTAGTCTGCTGGGACAGAAAAAGATCTCATCCATTCCAGTATAGTGTTTTATACAGTGGTTTATCCATTGGTTCAGTGAGACCTTCCAGTAGAGAACGAGGGCAATAGGGTAGTACTGGTACCCTAAGGTATACTGCTACTGAATATGGAGGTTCCTTTTCACCTTCTCCTGGCTCTGTGCTTTGGGTATTGTTCAAAACCTCTGACCATTCCTTCAAATCCTGCCTGTTATCTCTTGGTTTGTGTATTCTAATTGTTTCCCCCTTCCTGCCTTCTCCCAGTTGATAATCTATGTGAGATAACAAGACTTCCTAGCAAAGGGATACATGCAGGTTTCTCAGTTTTTCCCAGGTTTTATTCACATGGAATGTTTTTTTTTTTTTGAAATCCTATGTAGATGCAGTGAACATTGTCCTTTTTTAACTTTTTGTGCTTTGACCTGGTATTAGCACGCTGTAGCTGACCATTCTTTGCTTGGGATGCATGTGGCAGGATTGCTTTGAACCCCTTTTCTTGTCAAAAGGAAGTTTTAAAAATAAATTGTAAACACACTGTAGCCTGTGTTTTTCCTGTAGAATCTTGGGCGGTCAGGGTATATATCCACTGATCTACAGAAAGCCAAACCATTTACTGGGTTTATCCTTTTAAAATCAGCATCCATAGTCCCACATCCTTCAGCCAGCGTTTGTGGAGGTGGAGAAGCAGCCCAGCGAACGAAAGAGCCCTGCAATACAAAGTCGGAGACCATATCCAAGGGTTCACAGTAAACCAGGTACTGTGGCTTTTTGTTGTTCATTATTTTTCTATCATCTCATGGCTTTGTGAGGCTCCTCTTTGAAGAATTTGGGGGCGGGGGGTTCACTGTGGTCCAACGTTTCTCCTTTTATGAAATGTTTCCTGCATTGACTTGCCTTTTGAGGAATCCCGAATCTGGAATCCTGCATCTGCCACCAGCTCGCGTAGAGTGCTGGGCCAGGCTGCCATCCTGCTTGACCTGAAAGTGCAGATGTCACCTGTGGGTGCATGGGAAAGCTGTCTTTTGGGGAAGCTTGCATGCCATTATTGGCCTTCCGGGAATCTGTAACAAGCTTCCAAGTAGCGGTTAGACTGTTGAACTCAGACTGGATAGACCTAGGTTCAGACCTGTGCTTGCTCATTAAACCATGGTCCAGTCCTTCTAACTCAGCCTAATCTTATCTCGCAGGATTGTCTGAGGAGAGGCAAACAGTGTTTTCAGCCACTTTGAGTCCCTGTTGGGAGAAAACTGGAGCACAGATATCTGAAGTAAATAAATGTGCATCTCCTGACCTTTGTAGATAGAAACACACAATAGATAAGCAGCTCCTTGGAACATGGTATGAAAGCAGTTGCCCTAGACTCATAGCTCAAAGCCAGTTTGTGGCGTGCGCTGGGCTGGAAGCCGACCTGCAGAGACTGACTACAGCTCCTAACTGTAGTGTAACGGACAGGCTAAGTTCAGCCTCTCCCTAAGAGCAACCAATGCGAGTGAGGGGTGGAAAAACACCAGCTGACAAACGACAGGCGTTAGTAGCAGGGGATTGGACAGGTTAGGAGATGAGGAAAAAATGGATTTCTGACAGTAGAACTGGGCAAAAGAGCTGCTTAGAGCAGGCAGAAATAGTCAGATTTTGGATAGCCCAGGCTAGCCCAATCCTGTCAGATCTTGGAAGCTAAGCAGGGTCGGCCTTGGCTAGTATTTGGAAGGGCGACCTCCAAGGAGTACCAGGGTCGTGACACAGAGGCAGGTGATGTCAAACCACCTCTGAAACTTCTCTTGAGTGTTTGAGTCCCCAGCCCCAATAGGGCTGAGAGAGAGAGAGCACCTGAGGCGTGAAATGGTCATGGCTGTCCATACATTTAAGGAGCTGCGGTGGCTCAAGTGGTTAAGATGCTGAACTGCAGGCTGTGGAAGGTCAGTAGTTCAGCAGTTCGAGACCTGAGTGTGCCGCATGACGGAGTGAGCTCCCGTCTCTAGTTCCAGCTCCTGCCAACCTAACAGTTCGAAAGCAAGAAATTGCAAGTAGATAAATAGGTACCACTTCGATGGGAAGGTAACAGCGTTCCGTGCGCCTTGGTGTTTAGTTATGCTGGCTACATGACCACGGAAACGTCTTCGGACAGCGCTGGCTCTTCGGCTTTGAAACGGAGATGAGCACCGCAACCCTCGAGTCGGATTCAACTGGCTTTCGAGCAAGGGAACCTTTACCTTTATCCAGATATTTTAAGAGAGACAAGGGTCACTCACTTGTGATGTCCTGACTTGCTGATAACTCTGAACCTGGGAGCGAGAGAGAGAGAGAGGCTGCTGAGAGTGTCAGGGGGAAAAGAGGCCTCCCAAGTACTATTTATTGCACTAGATTTTAGACCACTGTCTGCCTGCCAGGGCAGGGCTCAGGGTGGTGTACAACATAGAAATTTCATGACAAATATAATATAAAAGCAGTTTAAAACAATAAAAGACACACTAATGGCCTGAGAGATGGCATGAAAGAATTCAGTAGCGCCATTGCCGCATGTGGGTGGGTGGGATGGGAGTGCGAGAAGGATGAGACCACTACTGTCCCCAACCAAATGCCTGGGGGAACATCTCTGCCTTACAGGCCCTGCAGAATGACATCAAGTCCCATAAAGCACAGATGTTATTTGGCAGAGAGTTCCGGCAGGTGTTGGAGCCAGGGTGGAGAACGCCCTGGCCCTGGTGGAGGACAGCTGGACGCCCCTTGGTAGTAGTAACCTCTATAGCTGCACTTCTAGCAGGTTCAGCTTCAGAGCTGGCTTGCTTATTTATTTATTTATTTATTGGATTTCTGCCCCGCGCCTCCCAGCCAAAGGTGACTCAGGGCGGCTTACATAAAAACAGGTAAATTACATAAAATAAATAAGTTACACCTCGAGGAAGTGAAGCAATACACAAGTCCCATGTAGGTGGGAAGGCTGGTTGGAAGTTTTGTGCATTTGTGTGGTCTGGAAGAGTCTTTGTTCTTGCCCGCGAGGCTGATTTCATAGTTTATTTTTTTGATTGTCTTCCGTGTACTAAATGAGGCCTTGCAGCTATCGAGAGATCTACGCCACTCAACTCCCATCTGCACCATCAAGCTGAAAGCTTTCATGCAGCTGTATATTGCTGATTTCTTCAACACATGGCTGTTTTGACAATATTTGCTACAATGGATGCATGCAATAAAAAACATATTGTGGATAGTGCAGCCTTAAATACCCTACAACAAGCTACTTAAGAGTCAAATCAGTGTTCAGTGTGTTGGAACTGGAGATTAAAGGCAAATTCTCTGGGTACATCTAATGTTTTCTGTAATGTGGAATAGTAAATATTAAATAGTTGTGCCCTAGTAGACGTGCGTATATTTACTGATAAGTGGACTGGTTGTTTTTGTCTTTTCCAGATATACATAATCTTTTCCAGAATATTAAGACAAGAACTTAGTTATGGCAACTGAAGAATTGTTTTTCTTTGTAGGTAGATGCAAAAGTGTTGCGAATTGGAAAATAGATGTTGTGTTTGAATCTTCCCTACTCCCTTTACAGACTGTCACTGTGTCAGAAAGACCAACACAGGAAAGCTAGTTTAAACTTTTGAGGACTAGAAACTTTAGAAGACTTAGTCCCATCTTGCAAGCAACAAGGTGTGTTTCTCCCCAATGCAGGTGACAACTGTACCGGAGCTGTTCTTAACTGCTGTTAAACTCAACCACGATAAGACAGGAGCCAAGTACCTGCATGTGGCACGAGAGGATTCCAATAATCTATTCAGGTATGTGGTTCTACAGCTCATGTGGCATTTTTAAGAATCTGCTTTTTCTTCGTAAACCTATTGAAACCTGTGTCAGTGGCCCCAGGGGTGAGCTGGGAAGGGAAAATTGGCCCTGGGAAAAGGCCCCTCCTCCCCCACAAAGCAGAGAAGGAAGAAGGCAGAAGGAGCCTGCCAGCTCCACACTTAGCACTACTTAGCTGTGTGCGGCCACCTGCATGCTGTGTCTGCCTCCCCCAGGCCAGGTGTCGCCCTTCTGCCCTGGGCTGGACTAGCCCAGGTGAGAGTGGGAGGAGGCGATCGGCCCACCAGCGAATTCTCCCGTGGTTATTGCAGCCAGTCCGCCCCAACTGTCACTCTTGGAAACCTCCTGATGGCTCTTGTAGACCCTTTCTGTTGCACTTTCCATCAAAAGCAGAGTAACGCCATATATTTCATTCTTGAGCTTCTTAAGGAAAGCTGCAGAACAAAGTTTGGGCCCAGTGGCACCTTTAAGGCCAACGAAGTTTAATTCTGGGTGTAAGTTTTTGCGCTCATGCACACTTCTTCAGATATAGCGAAACAAGACTTCTTCAACCGTTCCGAGTAGGGAGAGAGAGGGTGGAGGGAGTTTAGTTGCCAGGAAGGACTAAGTGTCAAGATGCATAAGTAACTGAGCAATGAGTATAGCTCAGATTGGATTAAAGCAGTTGGTGATACCTGTGAATAACATCAAATTAGCATACAGCTGGATGCTCCTGGTATATTTTGCTGGGAAGTATGAGGTGTCGATTTCAGGAGCACTCAGCTCACGAGCAAGTGAGCTTTGCATTGCAACCTGATTGATCAGAATCACTGTTTGAGGTTCCTAGCTGATGAGAGGAAGGTACCGTAGAGGGTTTTGTTAGTAGTATTTAGTTTTGGTGTATTTGAGCATTATGGTTCATCAAGTTCCCTCCTCAGCCTCAAGGTTAGAGTCATGGCAACCCAAAAAACTGGTCTGGAGAGGTGGCGTACAAGTTAATCTAAATGTACCATACACAGGGTGACATGATTGAGGTTTATAAGATTATGCCTGGGATAGATCAGGTCGAGAAAGAGGTACTTTTCTCCCTTTCTCACAATACAAGAACTCGTGGGCACTCCATGAAATTGCTGAGCGGTCGGGTTAGGACGGATAAAAGGAAGTACTTTTTCCCCCAAAGAGTGATTAACATATGGAATTCACTGCCACAGGAAGTGGTGGCGGCTACAAGCATGGACGGCTTCAAAAGCGAATTAGATAAGCATATGGAGCAGAGGTCCATCAGTGGCTATTAGCCACAAGGTATAGATAGGGGCTCTGGGGCAAGTGATGCTCTGTCTTCTTGGTGCTTGGGGGGGGGTCAACAGTGGGAGGGCTTCTAATGTCCTGGCCCCACTGGTGGACCTCCTGATGGCACCTGGTATTTTTGGCCACTGGGTGACAGAGTGTTGGACTGGATGGGCCTTTGGCCTGATCCAACATTGGCGTCACTTATGTTCTTATGACACTAATGCCAAATGAAAGGTGTATTGGGGTTTGGGAAGTCTCCAGGGGTTGGTGGAGTTTGCTGCAGTTATGGGCTTCGAAAGTGGGCTGCATCTCATGAGACTCCCAAATCATATAAAAATGCCACCAGTAAGAATTCACAAATATTGCTCTATTGACAACAGTACAACACTGTAGTCAAGTACACTGTAGTCAAATACAACATCAGTACCAATGAACTCTCAAAAATTACAAGATTCCAGTTGCCAGTTAACCAAATAGAATGTAGTTAAGCAATCAAACTAACCAACAGCTGAGACCTCCTATAAACCTGGGAACAACAACATTCAAAAATTACAATTACAATAACAATGCAGAGTAATTACATTCATAAATAACAGTAACAGCGAGGAGTAATTACATTAAGAGATAATAGTAACAGCAATACAAGGTGCCAGTATAGTTCCCTTGTTTCCATAAGAGTTCTTCTTCAGTCGCTGTAAAACAAAGTTGTGCAAACAAACCATACAGTAAAATACAGTGGGTATCCTGCTCTTGCTTACACAACTAACAATTTAAACACTCTGCAATGCACTGACTCACCTATTACAGTAAGAATGATCCTATATTGAATGAAACAGAAAAACTTTTCAAGCCTCCCACAGGGATTTTTCTCACTGTTTCAATAGAGTAATAGTTGTGAATTCTTACTGGTGGAATTTTCATATGATTTGGGAGCCTCTGAGATGCAGCCCATTTTCGGAGTTTAACGTATTTGGTTACAGCAGCTTTCTCACTCCGTTGTCCTTTGATGTTTTTGCAGTTATGGGCTTGCCATTCAGGGCTGTTCTGTTGGGCAGCATTTCCTCAAACCCAGGAACAACGTAAATAATTTTTCATTCGCATTTTTCATGAAACAGTAAAGAGGGTCAGAGGCAAATAGAGTGAGAAGATTAGCCCCACCCCAACTTCAGCCCAGTTTCCATCACCTATTAAATTTGGATGCAGCCTTTCCAGTGTCCTGCATTATCTGTCTGGCCAATGAGCTTTATCTGTAGGGCAACACTGCTCGGCTTTTAAGCGAAACTGTCTCCCTGCTTCCTTACAGCGTTCAGTTCCGTACCACCCCAATGGACAGCACAGGCGTCCCCCATATCCTGGAGCACACTGTGCTCTGTGGGTCTCAGAAGTACCCCGTCCGAGATCCCTTCTTCAAAATGCTGAACAGGTCGCTCTCCACGTTCATGAATGCATTTACAGGTGAGCTCGAGGTGATCTACAGCCTCTTCGGTTCTTGCCAGGTAATGGCCGTTCATTGTTGCGATGTAACCAGTGTTCCCTCTAAGCTGAGTTAGTGTGAGCTAGCCCACTTTTTTTAGCCTCAGGTTCACACATTTTGATCTTAGCTCAGGAAGGATGGCTCCAGAGCAAACTAAGTTATGCAGCAGCCAAATTGCTCGCTCACAACTTTAATGCCAGTAGCTCACAAAGTAGAATTTTTGCTCACAAGACTCCAGGGAACATTGGATGTAACCCCACCGTTTCTGTTATGTGAACAGGTACAGCTGGACCGTATGAAACTCTGTTAGGCCAGCCAGTGCACTTCATAACAGCGCTGAGACCATTTGTTCAGCAAACTAGTTCAACAAACTACAGGCCCATTTAGGTGTATAGGCTTTTGGGTTGGTGTTCGAACTCCATGGGGCCCCTGTTTCTTACTGGAGCATATTTCTTGGCTCCTTTTTCAGTCAAATTTCATTAGTCCCCAATGTAGTGGAGGGCGGTTGATGAGCATTTCTGCACAATGTGAGAACACTGGTGGGGACTCAAGCTGCAGCCTCTTAGTGGGGCTGGGAAAAGGCTCTCCCTGAGGTCCTGTAGAGCTGCAGCTACCAGTTAATACTGGTATAAAGGAGCTTGAGCATGTGGGTAGCCCCTGGACCCCTGTTGCCTTGATGAGCAGAAGTCAATAGCTACTGGTACACCCTTAAAAAGAAGCATATACTTTACAGATTTCAATTTATAAATGAATTCGCAGATCTAAAAGTGCTTCCCGCGCTAGATCTGCAATGCAAAATGCTTAGGAGAAATGCAGACCTATATTTTAAATAAATGGTATTAATTGTAAAATATATATATTTTTTTTCTTTACAGCTAGTGACTACACACTCTACCCATTTTCCACCCAAAATCCCAAGGATTTCCAGAATCTCCTCTCTGTGTACTTGGATGCAGTGTTTTTCCCCTGCTTGAGACATCTAGATTTCTGGTAAGAGTGCAGCATTCTTGGTGTGACTCTCGCTGGTAAGAGCCAAAGGAGTGCTAGAAAAAGGTTTGCTAGATGTGTTTCTTAATGTCTTGTAGGCAAGAAGGCTGGAGGCTGGAACATGAGAACCCCAGAGATCCTCAGACACCGTTAACCTTCAAAGGAGTAGTCTTTAATGAAATGAAGGGAGCCTTTGTAAGTGCTTTTAAAATTGTTTGTTTTTGCTTTCTCTTAATATTTGGGAAGAATTGCACATCTTGTTTGGTGTAGTGGTTAAGTGCGCGGACTCTAATCTGGGAGAACCAGGTTTGATTCCCCACTCCTTCACTTGCACCTGGCTGGATGACCTTGGGCAAGCCATAGTTCTGGCACAGCTGTTCTTGAAAAAGAGCCGTTTCTGTCAAGAGTTCTCTCAGCTCCACCTACCTCACAGGGTGTCTGTTGTGGGGAGGGGAAGGGAAAGGAGTTTGTAAGCCGCTCTGAGACACCTTTGGGTAGTGAAGGGTGGGGTATAAATCCAATCTCCTCCTCCTCCTCCTCCTCTTCTTCTTCTTCTTCCTTCTTCCTTCTTCATCTTCATATTGTTTCCCAGTAGTTCGATCTAAGATTAAACGAATTGAATGAAAATGGATTAAGAATAGTCTTTTGAAAGTCTGGGTTCATAACAACCTCATGTGGACTATCTCAAGTTGTGGGGCACATCTATTTTTTTATTTTATGTTTATACCCAGACTTTTTGCCCTCATAAAGGCCACTAAGGCAGCCACATGACTTGCTGCAAGTGGGGGCGTACAAATGTGTGTGTTACTGGGTCCTTGGGGTGAAGATGGGGGTTGGAAGGTGGATTGTACTTCTTGAAAGATTCCTTGGACTTCCATACACGAGCTGAGCTTTCTGCAAAAACAGGGTGTCTTCCCCATCCACACAGATTTCTTTGTATTTAGAGGACTCTGTTGGAAGAAACTGTGCCACATAATGTGTGTGTGGAGGCGGGGGTGTCAGGCTTAGTGGTTGGTCCCTCTCTTGTAAGACACCCCCACATGGTCTAATTGAACAAGTTTTCTAAGGTAAATTTAGGTATCATATGAAACAATGGCTCATTCTAACAGTTTGGAACTCATATGAGCGCCTCTCCTATGGCGAGTAATAATTGCTTGGAGGTGACTACATAGGGAAAGTTCTGTCAGTTCTGTGAACACCTCTGCAAGGCTGGTTTAGCTATTTACAAGAATATTCATAAGTAACCGAGCCTTGAGCACAGATTCAGGTGGTGTAGTCGTGTTGCTCTGACGCAGCAGAACAAAGTTTGAGTCCAGTGGCACCTTTAAGACCAACAAAGTTTTATTTAAGGTATAAACATTTGTGCGGAAGCACGCTTCCTCAGATACAATGACATGGAAATTACCAGTCCATACATATAGGTGGAGGGTGAGCGGTAAATTAGCATACAGCATAACGAAGGCTTGAGCAACATTTCTAGCTCAGGTAAATTTAGGTATCATACAAAACTATGGTTTATTCTGACTGTGGGAACTCATCAGGCTAGCTTAATTTAGAGATTTCTTGTTCCTTTTAATTTTCCATCTGTTTAGTGCTGCCCAAGCTATCATGCAGTGGGTTTTTTTAAGTATTTGTGTGTGTGTGCTTGCATGCCTGGAAGCCATGGTTGACTTGTGGCGATCCCTAGTGGGATGGCTTGATATTGCCTGCCTCTGCGTCCTGGCCCCGCTATTCCTTGGAGGTCTCCCATTCAAGTACTTGCCAGGGTCGGCCGTTCTTAGCTTCCAAGATCTGACCGCATCGGGCTTGCCTGGCTTATCCAGGTCAGCACCATGCAGTGGGTTCTTGAGGTAGAGCAACAGTTGTAACCAAGGCTTGTTGTCATAACAAACTGTGACTCCAGAAACCACTTCAGGCCCTAGTGTCTGATTCTCGTTGTTGACTGAGTACGAACAGTTTACGTAGCGACAAGTTGTCACCTAGTCTTGGAAGTCCTGGAACTCGTGCGCTCCTTCTTCCCTTGGCAGGTGGCTCAGGAGCTGAATGCTTAGGGGTGATCCACAGTGCAATCCTAAGCTTCTAGTGTTCTGGCCCCACTGGTGGACCTCTTGATGGCACCTGGTATTTTTTGGCCACTGTGTGACAGAGTGTTGGACTAGATGGGCTATTGGGCTGATCCAACATTGGCTTCTCTTATGTTCTTATGTTCAGAGTTGGGGCTTTCTGAGACCATTGGTATATTGCGGTATTTCTGCATTTTTGTAATTAAAAAGGGTTTAACTTTGTTTAGGATTGTTGCTAATCCTGGTGGGCAGGCAAGAAACAAGCCATAGTTTGTGGTTTGGGCATAATAGTAAGCTGTTGTTTCTTGCAAGCCAGAATGTCTTACATTTTCAAGGCATGCACAGAGACAGGAGAGAACGCACGAGCCAGAGAATATTCAGCTCTCATTCTTGGAATACCAAAACCGTGGCTTGCCCCTACATTGGCATGTAGCCTGTGTCTTAACCATGGTTTGCCTTGATGCTTGAATTGAGCCATTGCGTCTTCTTTCAGTCTCACGGGACAGTGATATACTTGCTGACTTGAACAGGCTGCTTCTCCTTGCCAAGAACTATTTCCACCTTTCTTCGCATGTTACTGTGACCCCTAGGGGTTATTGGCCCTTGTATCTCACCATTAACTTTGTTCCACAATGTCCAACTTTCCCCCCCTGAAGTTCTTGCGTATTGTTGTGATGACAACATGTGACTTACCGAGTATTTTTGGTCTTACTAAAGTGTTTCTTTTAAGACAGATAATGAGAGGGTGTTCTCTCAGCACCTTCAGAACCACATTCTCCCTGGTCACACTTATGCGGTCATCTCTGGTGGGCACCCTCTGAAGATCCCTGACCTTTCCTGGGAGCAGCTCAAGCAGTTCCATGCCTTGCATTATCATCCCAGCAATGCAAGGTATGCTGTGGTGACCCTGGATTTTGATTAGCAAGGGGTATGCAGATGCTGTTTGGGAACCCCTGATAGCTCGAAGTCCTAAGGGCCATATGTGGGTTCTTAATTTTCTCTCTGAGTCCCATGATTCACATGGAAGAAGCAACATTGTGTCTTCAGTTTGCTTGCCCCTCCTTGGATTCTCAATGTACTTTCTTATTTTAGGCACCTCTGTCACTTTTCTCTTCTATGGCGGCATAAAGCTGCTTACAGAAATATAATAAATAACCTAAAAGGACACCGGAGAGCGGTGAAGACGGAGTTATTCCGCCAAGCTTTTAATAGTTTGGATTAAGCATGAAGCACTTTATGGTTGCCGCCATGAGTATGAGCATGAAAATGTTAGTCTATATGTAATTCCTCGATTTTAATGCTGTGTATAGATTGTTTTAGAAATATTGTTTTACTGGTTTTTAATGTTGTAAGCCGCCCTGAGCCGCTTCGGCGGGAGGGCGGGGTAAAAGTCAAATAATAAATAAATAAATAAATAAATTTAAGTGAACAGAAAAGAAGGCATTTCAGTGCCTACTTCTGCCCTGCTGAGACATCTCCCTCTCCTGCTCCCTAGATGTCAACTTGGCACTGTGCCACACTCAGGCTGCATTCAGGACGAGTAAGCAGGACCGTAGCTACGGTGGGGCATTTGGGCCCCCCGCCCCTTAATTAAAAGCCTCGCCCCACCGATAGCGATGCCAGAAACCTTATTTTTGAGGAGAAACCCCTGCCGCCTGCTGCTCGGGATTCCCTCTCCCTCCCACTGTGGAATTGGGTATGTGTGCGTGCATCATGGGACCTGGGAAAAGACAGCTGAGAAGGCATTTGAATGCCTTTTGAGTTCCCTTCTACAGGGCAAGAAAGCTTGGAAGGACACTCAAGAGCGGCACCTTCAGTACTTCAACAATCCCCCTTTCTGCTAGCCCAGTCCTGCCGTGTCCCATCTAGGTCATGTGGGTCTTTCAGAAGCATTCCCATGACCTAGCAGAAAGGGCATTGTTGGTCATATATTGAAGGCGCCACTCTTGAGTGCCCTGCTAAACTTCCTTGCCCTGTGGGAGGCATCCGAATGCCTTCTGGAGGCAATTAAATGCCCTCTGAGCTGTTTCTTTTCCTCCTAGGAACTGGTGTACTTGCTGCCTTGTCCCCTGAAAGGAAGGGCTAGGAACAGTCTCAGAGCCTCCCCCTTTAAAGACAGGCATTCAAGTTAATTCAGTTAGCTGTAACTTAACTGCCCCCTTAAAAATCTAAATGCCCCCAAACAAAAAAAATCCTGGCTACGGGCTGGCTAGTAAGAAGCCCGTCCGGGACCTTCCCTCCACTCTCACATGCTCTAAAATCCAAGGGAGTTGCCAGACCAGCATTCCGTGTGGCCTGAGGGTTTGCAGCCAGAAGAGGAATCGGTTCTGCTAGAACTGGTTTTCAAGCAGGCAGGCCCTTTGTGGATTAAGGCACTTCAGCCTTTTCCTGTCATAACCATAACCTTGCATCCAATTACAGGTTCTTCACTTACGGTAACTTCCCCCTGGAGCAACACTTGAAACAAATTCACGAGGAGGCGCTCATCAAGTTCCAGAAAATTGAACCAAATACAGGTGTCCCCCCACAGCAACTCTGGGACAAGCCTGTGAGTTTTTATTTCTTGGCTATGCGATTTTTATCTTGTTTTTCCTTTTGGAGTTGACTGCTGGTTACTGCCCAGTATAGCTATTTTAAACAACAGAGGACTTCCCAGCACAGAACATAAATTGCACAAAAGCTTTGGAATAGGACACAAATCAAAGAGAAAGTCTGTAGATGTATGACACATCTATACCAGCTGAATAAGTTCATAGAACGGACTGTTTGAAATTTATGACTGGTTGCCCATCAGAAGGTTATTGTCATTCTTGTAAGCTTGAAAATTGTATTGAATTCTAAAATGGATCGAAGAGACGAAAGATTGAACAAGTGTATAATTGTATTCCTGAAGAAGATGGACGGAACAAAGCGCATATCCGGAATCTTCGTTGTTCTGCTGTAACGCTTATCTGCGTTTATGTACATATTGTACTTTAAGAGAAATTTGACTCATTGTACACTTAAAAGTGTTATACATCTACAGACTTTCTCTTTGATTTGTGTCCTATTCCACAGTGTAGCTATTTGGCAGGAATGTATCTAGCAGCCCATGCTGGCATGGCAAAACAAAGGTGCTTCTCTGCTTCATCTTCCTTTCCTTCCAATACGGCAGCAACATGGATTATTCTGCATTCTAATTAACTCCTTTCTCAAAGGCAGAGTGGAGTGATTGAAGGCAGAATGGATGTGGGGGCAGCAGGTTGCTTCTCTGCTTCAGATGCTTGCTGGGGAAGGGCTTTTTTTTCTCATCTGGACATAAATCAAGACATGATGTGTGTTTCTAGAAGGGTTCCTTGTGTTGCATTGAATCCTTCTTTGCATTGAAGTTTCCTGCCATGATTGAGCCCTTTGCAGTTCATGCTTATGCTCCTGTCAGGGGAGGCTGTAGCTCAGAGGTAGCTGACATGCTTTGAATGTGGAAAGTCATAGGTTCGGTCCCTGGCCTCTCAAGTTGAAGTGAACCAGGGCAAGGAAAGACCTCGGTCTGAGAGCTTTCAGAGCTCTGCATTGCTCAGAGTGGACAAGACTAGTTTAACTAGAGCCTCTCGTTTGGAATGCAGTGTGCCAGCACAGCCTCCTTTGCGGAATGCTGAAACAGGGGTGGGGATTTCTACAAGGAGAGGGAGTTGCATTCCCCACCCTTAATTGTTGTCTTGTTCCGCAGAGAGAACACCATGTAATGTGTGGCACAGATTCATTTGCTGCGGACCCCAAGAAGCAGACCATGGTCAGCGTCACCTACCTCCTGGCCGAGTACGTGGGGTTTGAAAAGGAAGGGTGAAAGAAAAGTTTTTTAAAAATGTCACGATTGCTTTTTCCTGCAGAGGGTTTCATTGGGAGCACCTTCGACAGTGAAGGTCTGTGTTTCCTGTTTGCGCATTCCTGGTTTTTCTGCACACATCTAAGGCCAGGTTCATAAATGGGTAGCCCCAGTCGCCCAAAACTGATTTGCAGCTGTCCTGGAGATGCTAAGCCTCAGCTAGATCTTGCACTCCTCTTTTGCATCGTTTCAGCTCGGCTTGGTCAGGAGCAGAGGCTCCGGATAGCTAGGAGAAAGCACTGAATTTACACGGTGAGGGTGAACGCTCGTCCCTTTTTAGACTTGTGTGACTAGTACTGTGGGTGACTGACGTGCCTTTAAGATCTCTGAATTATGCTCTTATTCCATCCTTCCTTCAAGGAGCTCAGGTTTTCCCCTCTTCTGTTTTTAGCCTTACAACAATCCTGTGAAGTAGGCTAGGCTGAGAAATGATTGCTGGCGAAATGTCCCCTGGCAAGGTTTGTGACAAAGTAGACATTGAAACGCTGGCCTCCCTAGTGGGAGTTGGATGCTCTTAAAACTGTCTCACTGTAGACCTCTAATTCCCAAGGCACCAGCCTACAGTCCAGAGACTTCCTGTGATGAGGTGAGCGCTGATCTTGGCTTGAGACGTGCAAGTGTTCACCAGGATGGCCCCCAGGCCCCCCCTCAAGGTCTTGTACAGTCTACTGCAGCAGTCTCGTGGTGCTTTCACCCTGTCTGAACTTCATGTGAAACCCCTGACTTTCACGGCTCTGGGTGCAGTTCTTAAACCAGCACTCAGTCTCACTTCCGTGCGCCTTGGTGTTTAGTCATGCCGGCCACATGACCACGGAAACATCTTCGGACAGCGCTGGCTCTTCGGCTTTGAAACGGAGATGAGCACCGCAACCCTAGAGTCGGACTCGACTGGCTTTTGAGCAAGGGAACCTTTACCTTTTTATCTTGTTTGAGGTATATGTTTGGAGCAGGGGGGCTCTGCTTTGGTGCTTCAGCCAAGTTCAGGGCTGTGACTGTTGGTGTAATTAAACCACTCTGCTGAAAGTGATGCAGTTGGATTAAAGGCTGCAAAGCTCAAGTGGCCTGGAGAATGCCTTCTTCCTGCCCTGCCTGCTGTTCAACACGGGAATAGTCCAAAAACTCTACATCTTTTTGGTCTGCCTCTGTGCAGTAAGCAGCACTTCCAGTGTAAATTAACTGCATGGCTATTCTTTGACAAGTCATTTCTGTATTAGAAAAGAAAGTAGGAATGAGGTTTGCACCCAGGTTGATTATCTAGGCTGAAATAATACACAGAATATATTTGTGTCTTGGTTCTAATTCATACAACAACCCTGTAAGGTAGGTCATCGTTATTCTCATCTCCATATTGCAGACTAGAAGCTGAGGCTGTGAATGAGTGCATCTTGTTGGGCTGCCTTTGTGCAGTAAGCAGCACTTCCAGTGCTAATTAACTGCATGGCTATTCTTTGACAAATCATTTCTGTATTAGAAAAGAAAGAAAGTAGGAAGGAAGTTTGCACCCAGGTTGATTATCTAGACTGAAATAATATACAGAATATATTTGTGTCTTGGTTCTAATTCATACAACAACCCTGTAAGGTAGGTCATCGTTATTCTCATCTCCATATTGCAGACTAGAAGCTGAGGCTGTGAATGAGTCACTTGCCCTAAAGCCTTCCAGTGAACTTGTGGCAGAGGTGAGGTTTTAATGAGGGACACCCTGCTACATAGCTTATTCTGTCAGTCACTGTGCTATGGTGTAGCAGAGGTAATGTGTTGCATTCCTCAGATGCAGAACTATACTTGACAGAGGTATTTGCTGACTCCCACGGTGCTGTTCTAAACTTTCCTGTGTTCTTTAGCATTACAGATAACTTTGAAACCTTCACACTAAACCTGTTGTCATCGCTGTTGGTTGGTGGCCCAAATTCCCCCTTTTATAAAGCTTTAATCGAGGCCGGCCTGGGTACAGACTTCTCACCAGATGTTGGGTAAGCTTATTGCTCTTCAGTCATGTAGGGGCACTGTGTTCCATAGCTGGTCTCCCTCATGCCTCATGGTGAACATCTTCATGGAATTTTTGATATCCCTCGATCTGAATTTTCTCAGGATTAATTAGACTTTGTATATAAAGTTGGGTGAAACATAAGCCCTGCTTATTGAACTGGAACCTTCAGCCATGTTGGAACCGAGATAAGTGAGAGAACTTAAAGGGATGAGAAGATGGAGTCAGAATGGCAAGACTGGAAAATCCAACTATGGGAATTCTTGCCCTCAGTAACCAGAAGATTGCCTTCTCTTGTTAATAAAATTAAAATCCTCTTAACCGGCTGTTCATCTGAGGGAAACATGCATGTATCTCTTCTCTTCTTTTACCCTTGTAACAGTCCTGTGAGATGTGTTGGTCTGAACGAGTGGCAGGCCTGAGATTAGGGTTGCCAAGTCCATCTTCCACCCCCAGCAGGGGACTTTGGGGGCGTTCCTGGAGGGGGCGGGGCATCCCCGACGTGATGACGTCACGTTGGCGACGTCTGCCTCCCCCCCCGCCCGTGCGCCAGATCTCCAGAAACAGCAGTTCCCTGCTGTTTCTCTTTTAAGTGCAGGAGCCGGCGTTTCCCCTTTAAGAGCAGCCGCATTTCCCATTTAAGAGCACGAAGCTGGCATTTCCCTGCAAGCTTGCGGCGAATCGGGCTTGGGAGGAAACACGGGTTCCACACACTTAAAGGGAGAGAGATGGGTGGGTGTTGGGGGTGGGGCTTCCCCCGCCGGCCATCTGGCTGGCAGCGGGTAGAAACCCCCCCAAAAAACTGGGGACCCCTGGCAAACCGGGGGGTTTGGCAACCCTACCTGAGATTGGCTTTGTGAGTGAGTGGTGACTTGAACTATGGTCTCTCAGGTCCTAAGCTGACCACTTTTAAAGCTTCGCTATGGTCACTAAATTAAGTCACCTTCACCTATATCTCCATTTTGGTTACTTGAGGACCTCTTTTTTAAACGTATTTCTGTATCACCACATAGCCCCAGGGGCCCTCGAAGTAGAGCATAGGAATAAATTGCATAGACACTCACTAAACATCCAGTCCATAAAAGCTAATGAAACAACCGTAATGAAAACCGTAATAGTAGCATCAGAAGAATGTTATCTTAAAGGAATACAGTAGGAGAAGTGAACATGAGGTAACAAATGTACACTTTAACGACAGGTGCAAGTTCAACAGTATAACCAGGAAAAAGAAAACCAGACAACAAAAGAAAGCGTTGGGGGGGGGGGGCATGGAGACTATTATTCTCTTTACTTTTCTGTGCTTGCTGTTTGGCCCCAGTCTCTACACCTCTTAGGCTTTGACATTTCTCCTGTTGAGCTAAAACATGTTGAGTTGCTCCACCTGGGTGAATCCACCTATATCAAACACAATTTTATCCCATCCTTTTTCCAAAGGAGCTCAGGGTTTTCTACTCCTGCTTATTTCCCCCTCACAACAGCCTTGTGAGGGTAGGTTTGGTTGCAAGAGATGGGACGGGGGATTTCAACCTGAGTGTCCCTGACCCAAGTCTGATACGCTACACCACACAATAGGAAATACAATAATTCTGAAGAAGCATGTGTACACACGAAAGCTTCTACCCAGAATTAAACTTTGTTGGCCTTAAAGGTGCCACTGGACTCTCACTTTGTTCTGTTGCTTCAGACCAACACGGCTACCCCACCTGGATCAATAATTCATCGTGTAGTCATTGACGCTTCTTTCCTCATCTCCCAGAAACTATTCTGTCAAGACTCTGGTTCTGAGGAGTTGTAAGTGGTATCCCCCCCCCCCCCCGCTATGTTTCAGGTTTAATGGTTACACAAGAGAGACTTACTTCAGTGTCGGTCTTCAAGGGATCGCTGAGGAAAACATCGACACTGTGAAGCAAATCATCGCTAGAACCATTGATGAAGTTATCGAGTAAGTAAAAGGCTCCCCCCCCCACACACACACACAGCTGAAGCACAAACTGTTGTGTGTGATTTGTGATTTCAAAGTGATTTCAGATGACATTTTTCTTCCATTTTTATGGAAATGGCACTGAATTTGGCCTGCAGGCATTCTAGTCGGTTCTGCAACTGTCTATGCAGGACACTGGAAGGGAGAGATCGCCTCCTGTGGTAGTTGAAAGTGACTTAATTTAGTGACAACCTCCATCAATCAAGAGTGGAGTTAGTTTGAGAGCCCCCTCGTTGTGGACATTTTTGTATCATCATCTGAACAGAAGTAAAGCACGTGAAGAGCCACTGTTTGTGTGTTTTGTATTTTTATATGTGCGTGTGTGAGTGTGTGTGCACCTGGAAGTCATGGCGACCTCTGGTGACTGACCCCTGCTGGGGGCCTGGAGGATATTCAGAGAAAGCCTGCCCCTGCCTCCCGACTGCTGGTATTCCGAGGAGGTCTCCCATCCAAGGACTTGCCAGGGTCGACCCTGCTTAGCTTCCGAGACCTGACGAGATCGGGCTTGCCTGGGCTATCCAGGTCAAGGCAAGAGCTGCTGTTTGAAAATTCTCTGTGAGTGGCTTTAGGAGGCGCTTGTGTCCTGTGCTGTTCCTCCTCCAGTGCCGCACTGGAGTCCAGCGTGTCCAACGCATGCGTGTGGACTGGGAGCAGAGATGACTCCCGTGCTTCTGCTCCCCTCTTTCCATGCGAGCTTGATTTCCACACCTGTTGGAACATATGAAAAGGCTTTTGGTGGGATTCTGACAAAGTAACACAGCAACCAACTAACTGCCAGGCTGTGTCCCAGTTTACATTTGTTACCGCTCTCTTGATGAGTGTCAGGTGATACTAATTCATAATTCAGCATGCGCAGGGCCGCTGCAGAATCCTGGGCCAAGGTCAGCTAAACTCTTTGTTCACCAAGCATGCTGATGTCACAGATTTGTGCCCCTTCTTGTATGATGGCGAGAGGTTCAGAGCACTGCAGCGTATTTGATCAGTCCTCCCATGATCCCACTGGGGATGCTGCTCAGCCATTCTCTTTATCCCCCTCCAACTTCCCCAGACTTCCACTCTCTCTCTCTGAAACATGAAGCTTTTGCTTAAAAAAGTGGGCCTGCCTGAGAATTGGAAATGAAGCTGTCACCCCACTAGTCTGTCATGATTGGTGTTGCCTACTCTGACTGACAGGGGCTCTCCAGGGTCTCAAGGAGAGACCTTTCACATCATCTGCTACCTTGTCCTTTTAATTGGGGATGCCGGGGACTGGGCAGGGGGTCTTCCTGCATGCAGTGCCCTGGCTCCATCCCAAATGGGGTGTAAAGAAATTGCTGGGAGCTCCAGTCACAGAACTTCCGGCATTTAGCTAATGATTAAAAAGGCTCTGGTGCTTGTTCAGGAAACCTTGTGAGAACGCGCCTGTTTTAGCCCAAGTGTCGCTAAGATGCTAAATCCTGTGCCTGGTTTTTTGTGTTGCACGGCTCGGTGGTTCGCTTCCTGGAGCACATGAAGCCCTTTCTTCCTGCCCATTTCCATTGTTGAGTAAAAAGGACCTTACTTGTCAGCTTGGGTTTGTTTTTGTCGTTTCTTTCCCAGGGATGGATTTGAGGAGGAGAGAATCGAAGCTCTGCTTCACAAAATTGAAATCCAAATGAAGCTTCAGTCGACTAGCTTTGGGCTTTCCTTAACCTCAGTAAGTGCTTTTGCCCCCCCTGAATGTTTATTGAACATATTTAGGATACTTATACTTTTCTCCCTAATGAGAATCTTCCCTCATCCACTTTATCCTCACAACCTCCCCCCCCCCCCAAGAAGTGAGCTCATCCCTTGCCACACATTTTGTTAAGTCTTTAAGGTGCTACTGGACTCTTGCTCTTTTCTACAACAACCACCCTGTGAAGCAGGTTGGGCCAAGAAAGAGGGAGTGGCCTAAGGTCACCTGGTCAGCTTCTGTGGCAGAGTTGGAATGCCAGACCTGGGTCTCCCAGATCCAATTTGATGCTCTGACCACTAGGCATTGCTGGCTCTTTGGAGGCCCTACCAGACCGGATTTTTTGGACTGGTCGGGTATTGTCAGTAGATCACCTCGTACTTGCTGTCATCCAATACTAGCAAAGCAAAACAAATATCCGTGATTGTATTTAACAAGAAGCATATTGCATAATATGAGACTTTTAAAATATTGTGAAAATATTAAAAATAATATGGGACTTGAACATAGTAACAGGTATGCTGTGAACGTCTTACTGCTGTGCTTGTCCGTGATGTAATTTTCTATCTGTGAGGAAGCCTTTGTGAAATGGAGAGATTTATTCTGGCAAATTCCACTGGATGGATGATTGCACTTGGAAAATATCAATATGATCTGTATGAAGCACTAAAGCACTCTGTACTCCTAAGAAGCACTTTAATATTCAGTGGTCTACAGCTTTTTAAAAATGAAGACGGACACGAACCCGCCCACCCAGCGGTTCGAAAGCAACTAATTGCGAGTAGATAAATGGGTACCCACCCTTAGTAGGGTGGGGGGCACCCTCCTTAGGTGTGGTGGGTGAATACGGCGGCGGCGGCGAGAGATCGGCTCCAGTGCAGGCGGAGACTGAGGCGGCATGGCGATGTGACGGCAGCAACAAGCAAGCACGACCGGAGGGGCGATCCCTGGTGGCCGAGGAAAGAAACATCGAGCGACTGCCGTCGAAAGGGCGCGCGATGACGTCAAGCGCAGGCACAGCGGAGCCGGAAAGGACGTTGCTGGGGCCAGAAGAAGGCGTGAGTCGCGCGCCCCAAAAAGCCAACACGCCCGAGCGCCGAAGTGAGCATCCTGCCGGAGACTGCCGAAGAAAAGACCTGAAGAGCCGGGTCAAGAACAACACCAACCACCACAGGGGTGCCGGTAGGTAGTCCCACCCCCGTATAGAAATGTGTGGCCCTAGTTAGGGAATAATTGTGATTAGCACCTGCCTGTAAGCCGCTCAGAGACCCCCTGAAAAAGGGAGTTCGAGCGGGATATAAAGTCGAAAGTTAATAAAAAAATAAAATAAGTATTCGTGAAGCCCTTTATTGGACACATAACACAATTGCTGTTGTGTTCTGGGAGCCTCCTGAAGATTCTGCATGTTGCTCTTGCTGGACTAAGTTGTGATTTTTGAGTCTCTGAAGTAGAAATAAGTTGTGTGTTATTGTTCCTGTTATCTAAGGAATGTTGACATTAAGCTGAATGAAATATTTGTAAGTCTCATATTATGCACTGTACGTCTCGTTAAATACAATCACGGGTTTTTGTTTTGCTGTTTGCACTTCCATGATTCACTCTTTGCTTTGTACCATCAGATACTACCACATAATTTGTGAAGCCAAGAAGGCCTCAATGTATGTGACAACTTACCTTTTTACATTTTGTTGGATAGTGTTTGTTAACAAGGCCAGGAGGGGGGCCTGCTCCCCCCCCCCCGGCTCTGCATAGTGAATCTGCTTCGATTGGCTACCTTTTATAGCACATCTATTGGTAAAAGTAATTTCTGTGTTGGTCTGTTGCTTTACTTCTGAGCTCCTAGGACGAAGGGCGAGATAAAAATGCAGCGTAGTGTCCTGCTTCTGTATTTTGTCACTGGCACCCTCCCTGTCTCTCTTCACCCCAAAAGTATATCGCCTCCTGCTGGAATCATGAGGGAGACCCTGTCGACCTACTGAAGTTTGCCGATAAAATCGCTCGATTCCGGGAGTGCCTCAAGGAGGATCCTCACTTCCTTCAGAAGAAAGTAAAGCAGTACTTCAAGGTGAGAAAACTTACAGACTCTGGATGGCGGCGGCAGGGGGGGCCCCTCCACATTGCTTATGAATGGGCCATAAGCAATGTTCCCTCTAAGCTGTGGAGTCTCGTCAGCAAAAGTTCTACTTTGTGAGCTACTGGCATTAAAGTTGTGAGCAAGCGATTTGGCTCCTGCATAAAGTAGTTTGCTCTGGGGCCATCCTTCCTGAGCTGAGATAAAAATGTGTGAGCCGGAGGCTGAAAAACTGTGAGCTAGCTCACACTTACTCAGCTTAGAGGGAACTCTGGCCATAAGGTCTTCCTACCCAGTGTCCTGCATTTTGGCCTTGGAAATATATTACTGGCTCCACTAGACTTGCAGCACAGCTACAATTGCTTCTCCCTATTTGACAGTAAAGGCCAAGGGTTAATGCACAGCTCCCTGCCCTGACCATCCAAGAGGCAGGGCCTGCCTTGTCCTCTCCACCAGTGATTAGCCTGGGCTGCTGCCTTCTCGGGTACTGGCAGCTTGGAAGCTGTTGCAGCGCCATTCCTTCCCTTATTGTCAGGATAACATGAATCCCACACCATGTGGGAGAATCCCACAGCTGTAGCTCCTCCCGCCAGGGTCATGCTCACTTTCCAGAGGGTTGACATCGGCTTGGGGAGGAGCTGCAGTGTGTTCTCTCGCCACATAACCTGCAGCTCCTTATCTAACTGTGGCTTTGTGGATGGGAAGAAGAAGAAGAAGAGATTGGATTTATACCCCGCCCTTCACTTGGAGTCTCAGAGCGGCTTACAAACGCCTTTCCCTTCCCCTCCCCACAACAGACACCCTGTGAGGTGGGTGGGGCTGAGAGAACTCTGACACAAACTGCTGTTTTTCAAGGACAGCTGTGCCAGAGCTTGTGACTGACCCAAGGTCACATCAGCAGGTGCAAGTGGAGGAGTGGGGAATCAAACCCGGTTCTCCCAGATTAGAGTCCGCGCACTTAACCACTACACCAAACTGGCTCTGAAGGCGCTCCTACATTGTCAGTACAGTGTAAGAGACTCTCCCCCAGGAACTGTGTTACAAAAAGGTTCTGGTTTATAGATGTCCTCCTTTCAGTGCTTTTCTTCTCCCCAGTAAGGTTGGGCTTTGTCTCAGCGTTAGCTCCTGCATGCAGGGGTCCCCAGTTTTATTGAGTGTGTCGGCATCTTTGGCATTCCAATGCAACCATAAAATGGCTGCTGCAGGAAGCGAAGCCAGCCACAAAATGGCTGCCACAAATGACCTTCAATCACATGGTGAAGATTTTTGTGCTATGGTAGCAGCAGTGTTTTTAAACATGTATACAGCCAGTCAAATCTCCAGTGGCCCATCAGAAGCCTTGCTGGGCAAAAGCCACCACTTGGCCTTGCCCACTTTCTAAAAACTTTTGGTAGGCACCAAGGAAGGTGTCTGTGGGCCCCATGGTCCCCTGATCTAACACAGCGATACCAGTCATTGAGATATCTTGGGAGTAAAGATGAAGGAGAAAGTAACCCATGCACTGACTGACTCTTTTGTTGTCTTTGGCCTGGATCTTGGCAAAAGGATAATCCTCATCAGCTCACTCTGTCAATGAGTCCGGATGAAGCTTTCTATGACAAGCAAGCAACTCTGGAAGCTGCAAAACTGAAAGAGAAGATTGAGGTTCTTTCTGAAGAAGAAAAGAAACAAACTTATGAAAAAGGTTGGTGTGTTCTGATTTTTGACGTGTTCTTTTTTTTTTTTTTTTAAAGGAATGAGTGTGGTGTATCATTGGTAGGCCAACACATGGCTTTAAAGGGGAAGTCTAGTTTTGTTTCATAGAATCATGGAGTTGGAAGGGGCCACGCAGGCCATGTAGTCCAACCCCCCTGCTCAGTATAGAATCAGCCTGGAGCATCCCTGACTAGTGTTTGTCCAGCCGCTGCTTCAAGACTGCCAGTGAAGGGGAGCTCACCACCTCCCGAGGCCACTGATTTCACTGTTGAACTACTCTTAGTGTTTCAAGGTATGAGCTTTTGAAAGTCAAGAGTCTCTTCATCAGATGGAAGCAGGAAATTTGGGTCCTTTTATCCTAGTCAGAAGATGGGAAGGGTGTTGTGAAGAATGGTTCTAAACAATGCAAAGGTACAATATAGTCATCTTAGTTAGAGCAGAGGGGAAATGCTTGGGAGCAGAAAATTATACCTGTGGTGAGCAATGCTCCCTCTAAGCTGTGGAGTCTTGTGAGCAAAAATTCTACTTTGTGAGCTACTTGCATTAAAGCTGTGAGCGAGCGATTTGGCTACTGCATAAATTAATTTGCTTTGGAGCCATCCTTCATGAACTAAGACAAAAATGTGTGAGCCAGAGACTAAAAAGCTGTGAACTAGCTCATACTAACTCAGCTTAGAGGGAACACTGGTGGTGAGATAAGACTCCTGTGTACCTATTCAGCCTTGGGGCGGATCCATTGTTTTGAACTTGTGAATTGACTCAAGGTTAAATTCAGCAAGATTGCTGGACTTAAGTTTGCATACTGTATTACACCTCTCCCGTCTTTGAATGAGATAAAAAGACCCTCCACTCCAAAATCCTGTGAAGTATGGAAAGGCTTTCCAGGGCAGATGCTCAAGGATCTTTCTGCAGATTTCTCACCTCCTTCAAAATACAAAAGGATTGTTGTAGCTTTCATGATATTTTTTCATGGGGAAAAAAAGTCAACAGTAGCTATTTTGGAAACCGTGCAAGAGACTGTTTGGACAGCTCCCCCGAGAACCTTGTCAGACTTTCATTATTGCCTCTAAACCATGTTTCTGCTTGTCTGGCTAGCCAACAAAATGACTTTTTGGAGAGTCTTGATAGTACTGCTGGGTATAAAACGAATGTTCTCTCTCATGTCTGCCAGGTTTGGAACTGATGGATCTGCAGAGCAAGCCTCAAGACACGTCCTGCCTTCCAGCCCTGAAAGTTTCAGATATTGAACCTCGAATTACCTGCACTGAGCTGGAGACATCGCTTACAGGTTGGGAGTAGCTCAAGGGCTGAAAACTTGCAACTTTTACTCAAACAGCTCATATAAGTCCTGCCTGTACGTCGATGTACAGAACTTCAGAGAGCCTTGCAGCAGCTTGTCTAGAACTGCGTTTCAGGGACATAAACAGATGGCGGCTTGTTCGGTGGGGGCATGACCGCGGCTTGTCTTGCTTGCACATCAATTTCTCCATCATCCTCTGTTCCTCTTTTAATCCCCCCTCATCTTTAATTAAC